AAAAAAAAAAAAAAAAGAAGAAGAAAGAATAACACAACTCATGGTAGATTCAATCACAAACAGGACATAATATGAATAAAAAAAGGATTATAACATAACTCACTGCTAGGCATACTTGACTTCTTGAATGAAGAACCTTACCGCTATTGCCACCAAAGTCAATAATTCCATTGCACCATTCAACCCATACGAGATAAAAGAATAGCAGCCAAAACTTGGAGAGACCTCAAACTTCCTCTCTTTTTCCTACTCTTTGTTAAATTATTATCCTTTCCAATCAAATTGTTTGATTCTTCTATATTGTCCTTGGTTCCGTTGCAATGACCAAAAGAATTTCGACTTCTACACCGATTTCATGATTGCATGTATGCAGCAGCAGTTCCACCAGTAACAATGATGCCAGTTGCAAGTAGTAGTGTTTTGCTGTTAAGAAAAATGAAAAAAGTTTGATACAGCATCATATAGGGGAAGGTATTGGAAATTACAAACGAAAACCAACATCATAACATATTGCCAAAGAGTTTCTACCTAGTCATTTTAGATGTCTATCCTTGATCTTCAAGGAGAAAAAGGAACCAAATTCCATCGACTGGTCTAATTAGATGAGGAGAGTTTTAATTTTTTTAAAGAATAGCTATTTCTGAAATGAAAAATAAACCATTCAGAAAGAAGTTTAGCACCTACTCCATAGTGATTTCTTGCTCGTTTCTTTTTCTCATCAGTGTTCTTTTGCCCATTCCTAAAATATCTAATAATAATTTAATTTTGTCTCATGTTGGGGCTTGATGGACATCTAATGAAAGGTCCCCATGGTGCTTCCATTTCTGCCCTCCTTGTATAGACCCTGCTAATCAAGGTTGGGAGTAAATGAACTAAAAAACCATCTTGTAATTTATTGAGTATACTTGTATTTAATGGAAGCCTTTCAAGAGAATATAACAAACATAAAAATATTTCTTAATACCCTCCAATCAGACTAGGACCCTGTTTGAAACCCCTTTTTTGTCCAAAAACTAATTTCCCAACAGTGTTGCACTGACAACCCTCCCCAAAAGTCAAATAATCCGTCAGATTCCCAATTGTTGTAAACTTCTACCCGTTGTATTTTCTTCCCGGTTTTGCCCCCATTGGTAAATGCTTCGTCCGTCATTTTCCCGTGCCTGGCTTTTCCACCTACTCCTTCAACCCATCGATTGAGACTAACGCCACCGGAATTTTCACCACCAATCACCGGCCAAACCAGAACAGGCGTTAAATCCAGTGGCCTTACGGCTTCATTTCGCTACTGCCCATCGAACACCCAACCTAATTTTCATCTTCACCGTGTCCGATTTCCCGGAGATAGTTCAATTTTCTGTACGAGAGGGGGGTTCTACACATCGATCTGGAGCTTCTGCGGGTTCACATCCGGCGTAGACCACCAATTTCTGACCGGCTTCCATGGAACATAACTTCTCCCCGTAGTAAAGTTCCCCCGACCAAACGGTAAGCCACTCTTCGTACTGTGCATTTCCGGCGCCCTAACTGTGTGAATTTGCTACAACATTAAAACTACTATCATGTTGTGCACATGGGTTCAACGCGAATTAACAGCATATGTGGAGATAGATTTACCATAGCCGGCAGTACGAATTGAGACTTTAACTTAGACGGAAACTTGTCTTGCGCTAACAAAATCTCCGTTTTACCGGCACTACACACCGCCTGTGATCTACTTGAAAATTAACATCATGTTTTGAGACATTTTTGCATACCCGCCACATACGATTTCCCATGTCAACGAAGACGGGAACAACTGTTGCCTTGTCGTTTTCTCCGTTTTACTTGCATTATAACCTGACTCTAACACCGATTTTCCCATGGCAGTGGTTCACAAGTGGGAGCCCAGACAAGTTGCCATCTGCTCCGTCTCACACGCAGGCAGCCCAAGGCAGGGTGCGAAAGACAGCGAGGTGGACCCAGGCAGAGCACAAAGTATTCATCGTTACCTGTGAATTAGTTGTAGCTGAAGGCCATCGACGAGGCAAATGCTTCTCCCCGACAGGATGGTGTCGTATAGCAGCCATGTTCAATGCCTCTACGGGGAAGGATTGGACTGTATCGCAGATGAAGAACTACTGGAATAAATTGAGAACGGATCACAAATGCCTATTCGAGTTGTTGCGATGCACTGGAATTGAGAACCGATCATGTACAGGAAGAATTCACGCCCCGGACCATTGGTGGGAAGCGAAAATTAAGGTAATCGTTCGCTTGTATCATTGAAACTTTCCATCAGAATATACGATTACTCAGTTCAACATTGCACATTGGACTCCATCAGATTAATGTAACCTTGAAGTGGGTTTCTGGAATATTAGTCTTCCTGTGCAACTGATCTAGGCACAACTACTGGTGCATACCTTAAATTCGGAGAAACGATTTACCTAAAATATTTCTCTTCCCGTTAATTACACTAATCAATCTACTAGGGTTTGATAAGGCGTCATGGAGGTGATTTGGGGTGTCGTATATGAATACTAATGCTAGCATCAATTTTGATCAGACTGTTTAAGTACGGTGTGTTTTTCTGACCAATATTTCGTATCTGTATGAGGGTTTAATTAAACCATCCCAATTCCGATGTCTTAAGGTTAGTTATGTTGCATAGGCCTTTCACACCATGTCCATGATTTCAATGTTTTTGTTAAGTAAGAAAATTTTAACGTCAATTGTAACAGAGACGATTATTGCCAAAGTGATGAATTAGATGAAGTGTTAAAGCCGGCTTCTGGGACGAGTAAATTTGGAAGGATCCCATTGAACCTGTACCCATACATCAGTTACACTTGCTCTTCTACAAAATTGTATACGATTTTTGAATAATATTCCCTCACAAGATTAATTTACACAGTGTCGTTGTACTCGTTTAATTGCATCTCCCAATTGTGTGGAATATGTGAAAACCAGTAGTATAATATTTATGCTTATCTTGCATTCCCCACCGGACGTAATATTATGAACTCATGGATACATGTAAATGCAGCAGTCATTACTTCATTTGGTTTCGAATGTTATTTGTTATCTACATCATCCATGCAGGAGAACCCTAAGTACGCAAAGTATAGAAACATCAACTGTAGCGAGATCTATGACACGTACGGCAGATTATTCGGCGACACTGGTGACTCAACCAAGTATGCGTTGTCTCCAACCAAGCTGTCGCAGCGTGGCTTTGATCTGGGAACAAATAGCGACAGGGAGTACGACGATGACAAGTTCCCCATTAATGCGGAGGCCACAGATTCCAGGGCAGCCCAGTCGAGGGTCGTGCTACTTCCTCCATGAATATATCTGGACACCATAGTGGGGACAAAAGAAAAAACAAACAAAGGAAGGGAAAGTCGAAGAAGAAAATGTACGGTGCGAGGGAGGTTTCGGCTTCCCTTGAGCAGTTGGCAAGTGTTGGAACGGATCTCGCTTCAATTGCGTGATCGCATCGTAAGGCGAGAATGACAGTCGGCGAATGCGTTGACGAGCTTCTGTCGTCTGGCCATGTTCAGGAAGGTGATCGACTCCACATTTTTGCTCTATGGTTCCTACGAGACAAAGACAATCGTACCTCGTATTGTGCTGTCAAGACACCTCTTACGAAATTTAAATTCATCGAGTACTGTTTCGAGCGAGACAATACTTCCATTAACCGTAAGGAGTGAGATTTCGCATCGGATGGTTGTGATGACTTTTTAATTATTATTCCGTACTTTTCTCTACAAGACTGTGTACATACCGCGGACTTCGTTTCTCTATTATTTGAAAACATCGTGTAACGTATGACATTAGAATTTGTGTTGTAATATATATTCCCGATTCGATGTCACGTATGCAAGCACGTTTTCTACTTGTATGCAATAGTATGGAAGACTAGTTAGATTCAGTATGAAGATTTGTTACATGCATCATGATTTAAAAATTTGCATGCGTATGTACTAGTCACAGTAGGTTGAATGGACTGCAGGCAAATTTTCCTTTTGTACTTGGAATATCACTTTATTACAGAGTCCTTTTTTGCATGACTTTGGAATATCACTTTATTATAGAGTCCTTTTTTGCATGACTTTGTCTACTAAAGAAAGTTTGAATGGACTGCAACAAAGATTCCCATCATATAATTTGAACCACGCCTAAAGGGGGTTGAGTAAAACAAACAACGGCATATCAATTATTGAACAACCACTGTAAGGTCAAATTATTGCTCATGTGCTTTCAGTTCTATATAAGTTGCAACTTGTAATGCGAAAGACATTTTTTCACGTCTCACAACGTCGACTGATACATTCTTTTGTAAATCGCGAAGCCTTTTTCATGTTAGAAACTCCATTCAATTTGCCACAACTATTCGAAACTCATATATTTGAAATTTCTCCATAACGGATACAAGTTCGAAAAGATGTCCGATAGTTTGGATGTGTACGCATCATCAGAAACAAACTGCGACATTCATTCGATGTCTGATGCAAATACGATGTCTAATGAAGATGTGATGGACCAAATGGATGCTGACATTATCACTTGGTTTCAGTACTGTAGAATCGCCGAGGGAATTGTTCGCGAGTACTTGGCACGTAATCGAGCACGTCGATTTCTATTCCCGACAGAGCGATGCGGCCACGTTTTTATGCTACAAAATTTGCACGTCTATCCGCATATGTGTTTTCAGGAGTTTAGGATGTACCCGCCGATGTTTATGTACTTCACGTACATTCTTCGCGACTCATTCGGAATTTCTAGCAGCACGAACATTGACATATACGAACATGTGGGAATGTTCTTGTGTATTCTAGCACACGGCAAAGGATATCGTCAAGTCCAAACGCTTTTCGGTCATTCGTTGCAGACGATCAGTCATTACTTTAAGACGGTCTTGCGTGCATGCGTGGCATTCGCGGCAACCATGATTAAACCAGATCAGCGTTACAACGAAGGGGCAGCTCATCATCATCCGGATAGCGAACGATATCCTCTTTTCCAGGTTATGTACTTAACGTCATAGATGGTACAACATGCCCTGTGTAGATGAATTGAAGTTGTGTTGATACATTTAATTATTACAGGATTGCATTGATGCGATCGACAGAACCCATGTGCAAGCCGTACTGCCACGAAATGTAAGAGAGAATTATATTGGAAGAAAGGGGATTCCAACCCAGAATGTATTGGCCGCCTGTGACTTCAATCTCTGTTTTACGTTTGTGCTGCCGGAAACACCCACGATAGCCGCATTTTGGTGCGTGCAGTGCACAGTCAGGATATCAATTTTCCCCAACCCACGAACGGTAAATACTACCTGCTGGACTCTGGTTTCGCACATAGGCCTGGGTACATGGCTCTGTATAAGTGCTCTGATATTAGATATCATTTTCAAGAGTTTGGCAATGCGAGGGCAGGACATCGTCGTTGGTTCCGAAATGCACGAGAGCGGTTCAATTTCCATCACTCATCATGCCGCAACGTTATTGAATGTGCGTTCGGTGTTTGGAAACAGAGATGGAAGATAATTGATCGAATGCCGGCGTATAATATGAGAGCGCAAACAGCTGTGGTTGTGGCTACAATGGGTATACATAATTTCCTTCGGAGAAACGGTCGGCTGGATGAGGCTTTTCATAGAACTGAAGAATTAGATGACGACGACGTCGAGATAGATTTACCTATGAAGAAGATGAAATGGCCGCCGAACTCGATGCAGTGGTCGAAGAGGACATCCCGTGGCTACAACTACGCGATTACATGGCGCAGGCATTACGTTAAGCATTTTTAATGGCGGCTGTTTTGAATTGGGCGGGCGTAATGTATTCATATTCGTCATCGTACCGATGTATGCGAACTCGTTACTTATTTTCCACCAAGTCAATGAACTTTTGTTCCGCATATTACATTTACGGATTCCATAATGTCAAATTTCGCTTGAATAATTTTGTGCAACCCAATTCATCAGAAAATAATTAGCACACGTTTTAACGTCAAAAATAATCATGAAAAGTGGGCACCTATTGTAGGCGTTGGAGGGCAATATTGGGAAGAGACATTACCATGCTTTAGAAAAGTCAAATTTCTCAAGCTCCTCCTAGGAACTTTGGCAGAGGACATTGCATTGTTTATTAAGTAGGTCCCACTCATTTGGTGAAGTGATTGCCAAAGAAATTGACACATGTCTTCACGTACTGTAGGAAAATTAGGAATTGGTTTCAAAACCGGGTTTCAAACAGCCCCTTATTATTCTTTTTAAAATATTTTTGTATTATGTAGGGAGGAAAGAAAGAAGGAGGAATGGTGAGAAACATCACCTCGTATGTGATAATTTCATAATATTGCACTAGATCCACATAAATTCAATCTCAAATGAAAGTTTTCAAAAGTTTTTTGAATTTTGCAAAAATCTCTAAAAGTTTTAAAATGAAAATTTATGAAAGTCAACAAAAGACTTTCACTAATTCCATACAACTCTAATTCCATAAAAATCACTAAAAA